TTCGATTGGTCCAGCTCCATTTATCACAGTGGCTCATAGGATGCTGAGCAGCTTGGGACCTGTGCCTTCTAGTCCAACTGGCTGGGGCTGGGGTGCAGTGGTCACGTCATATCGTATAAAGTACGGCTGCCTGGACAGCTGGGATTGTGGGGATCATTTCCCCTTTAAAAAGAATATGAACGTAGCAAGCAGTGATAGAAACTTTGAACATTTTTTAACTTTAACATTTTTTCAATTGTAAAGCCTTTTAATAGTTTACTTTGTGCCTTTTTCTTTGGCCTTTATTCTTAGAGTGTCTTTCCTGATTCCAAGATCAGGTTCATATCCAACTATATTATTTTAAAACTTATTTTGTGGTTTTGTATTACATGTAAGTATTACTGATTTTTAAGCATCATTAGCATGGTCATAGTTATAGGTTCCAGATGGGAGATGGTTTCAAGAGGTTTTGGTGACAGATGATGTCTACCTTTTCCCATTAAAAATCTGCAAGTTCATCAACATGAGGCATTTTTTTTCCCCCTCTATAAATCTTCAGAAATTTTTATTATGAAAGTAATTCATATTGGTAAAAACCAATTAAATCATATAACATAAAATGGAAAAGTCTCTGAATCCTAACCTCCCATGGTATATAATATACAACGGTTTAATGTATTTTACTTAGATCACACATAGTATAAAATATGTTTTGCTTATAAATATATAAAAATGTATTTTAAGCAAAGATAGGGATGATAACGTGTTTCAACTTAACTTTTTTCAATTATTTCTGTGTCTGCTCCCGTAAATCCACCTTGTTGTAATGGCTGTATCTACCTATGGATGTAAGGTAATTTATTTAATTGGTCTTTATTAGCGGTTGTTTAGATTGTTTTTCCAGTATGAGTTTCGGAGGCCGGAAATTGTTCCTTAATTTGCTTGCTAAGGAAAATGGCTGTTCCACGCTCTTTGTGACTCTGCTTTTGTGGGAAGGATAAAGACTTTTTGTTCTGAAATCCCGGGGGTGCAGAGTCTCAGCTTTGCCATTGTCATGTCCTGTGTCACAGCTATAGGAAGGCCCTGGTTACGGTGCCAGGTGGGGAGCTCCGGGCCCTGCCCTGGAGAGGCAGCTCCTCTCCTGGTGCTTCCTGCTGGTCCCCTTACTCCTGGGAGAAGAACGACCTGGTGACATGATGGAACTGGATTCCCAGGACTGGGGTCAAGCTGAGTGAGGGAGGCGTCACTGCTGATGCTTTTATAACTGGCGTCGGCCAACTTTTTCTGTAAAGCGCCAGATAGTGAAGATTTTCAGTTTTTCAGGCCATATGATTTCCGTTGCAACTACTCACCTCTACTGTTTTAGAGACAAAGCGGCCACGGACAACATGACCATATGTCAATGTATGGGTGTGGCCACGTGACAATAAAACTTCATGGACACCGAAGTTTGAATTTCATATAATTTTATGTGGCATAAAATATTATTTTTCTTTTGACTTTTCCCTCAACCGTTGGAAAAAAATGTGAAAACCTTCTTAGCTTGAGTGCAAAAATAAGCAGAGGCACAAATTTGGCCCATGGATTATAGTTCTCGTATTTCTAGTTTTATAACATGATTTCTTGAGTTCTCAATTTTGATTCACCTGAGTTGGCTCGTGTATATCGTTAAGTAATTGTTCCTCTAGTTAGATTTTAGTGTTAGAGAGTGAATTATTCATATCCTTAGTTCGTTGGCACCCTGTCCTCACTGGTCCCCGTTAGACCCCTTCCACCTTCTTACAAGTTTCCTTTCTTTTTTTTTGGTTCCCTTTTATCATTATTCCTTACTCCATCTCCCCAGCGGCCAGCATCCTAGTGTGTTTAATGTGAATTCTTTAGTTTGCATGATTCTTTCCTTGCTGTTGCTTTTTATTTTGTTTTTATTTTTTTATTTTTATTTATTTATTTATTTTTAGGCGAGGCAACCCTTAGTTGACCTCACAAATTGCAAGGACCTTGTCAGCTTACAAACCCTTATTTTTTATTTTTTATTTTTTATGCCTACAGCACCTGGTCTTTCTAGGTGGTCTCCCATCCAAGTACTAACCAGGCCCGACCCTGTTTTGCTTCTGAGATTAGGGTGGCATGGCTGTAGACTATTGTTGCTTTTTAAAAATTTGTTTTTTTCGGATGTGGTTCTCATAGGTGTGTATTATTGGTTTGTGTGTGTGTATGTTTAATTTATGAGTGGAGTTGTATTGCAGAGCTCATTCTCATTTTCCCACTCAGATAATCTGTATCTAAAAGATAATCCTCATTGCCATGTGAACATTGGACCCTTGCTCTAACTAGTGCACAGGGCCCCGTGGGTGAATCTACCACCACTTATCTCAATAAAAAAAAAAAGAAAAGTTTCCTTGAGAGATATCATGTTTTCAGCTTGTACACATTTGGAATTATGTGTTTTTTGCCCTCACAAGGGGCAGGCAATTTGAGTATTAAAAAAAAACAAAAAAACAAAAACCCCTTATTTTCTTTCGAACAGTAGATATCTATCTAAAAGTATTAACAATTTGTATTTATTTTTAAACATTAGTATTTTTAAAAAATTAAGGTCTAATTTACCTGTTTTAGTATTCAGTTTGAGTTTCGATAAATACATACAACTGCATAACCATCACCACCATCAAGATACAAAACAATACAGAAAGTTTAATTGCCCCCCAAAATCCCTCACGTCCTTTTGTTGTCAACCCTTCTCCTCACTCCTAGTCTCTGGCAATCAAAGGTCACTTTCCTGTCCTATAGCGATGCCTGTTCTAGAATGATATGAGTGAGATCATATGTTGCTTTTGGGGTGTAGCTTCTTTCCCTTAGCAGCATGCATTTGCCACTCCATTATCTCTTGATGTTCAATGTCTGAGTTTCTTTGTAGATATTGTTGTCATTGTGCTAAGGTTTTTTTCTGTGAGTAGGTCCCTTTTCGTTGACGTTTGTCTGGCACACAGTGAGCTCTTCACGTCTGTGTACCTATGGCTGCTTATTACTTGACACTGTGTTGCTAATGTTCAAACTGTCTCCTATTCTAGTTGGTGGCCTCCCTGAGGGCTGGGTCTTTGTTTTTATGTCCTTGCTTATTTGTGGAGACTCCCAGTTAAAGTCCTCTTTGAGGATCCTTGAAGACCCCTGAGCTCTCGTCAAACTATACTTTTTTTTTTCTCCTATTCTTGGAAACAAATGGGATTCATACATTGCAACCATTGTTCCTTGTTCCAGAACAGGTTCTCGGTAAGTTCTGGGTGTCTCCTTTTTGGAAGATAAATTCTAATTACCATATAAGAGAACATGACTTATCTGCAACATTCCCGTGAAAAGATGATTTTCCTGCCATCTGTGATGCTTCTTTGTAGTTTTAATGTTTTCATTGACCCTGTTTCATAGGTGTTGTAGAGTTGTGACCAGTTATTCCCGCTGCCCATAGTTTTTATCCCAAGGGAGTCCATACAAGGGCGAGTCCCTTTCCTCTGCTGATCATTGATGGAATCTCTCAGTCAGACCCACATTGCTTGGGGGTGGGATGTGGGCAAACCCCCTCCTCACCTCTTCACTGAGCTGAAGGGAGTGAGGCTGTGAGTGCTTGTGAAGGCTCTGGCAAAGGACAGAGGGGCTCTGTTGCTGGGGGTTCTAAAGGGATGGTTTCCTTGCTCATGAATAAGATTGGACCAGAGAAGTTCTCACTCTTGATTCTGGTCCGAGTCCAACCCCAGCACTTAGCACACTGTCTGTTACTGGCACCTCAATAGTGTTGAATGAAAGCGATGGTGAACCTCTCCAGACTTTTCTCAAGCTCCGTCCCATGCTCCCTTATCAGGGTGGCGCTCTGAGCAGGTTTCAGCCCCCTCCATACCTTCCCCCGCACACTCTCGCTCCCACACACCCTCACTGTGATATCATAAGAAATACGTATTTGATCTTTGTCCCCAGTTCCTGGCACAGAGTCCTAAAACCCTTGTAATTTCCCAAGTGGTTGGGTGAGAGGAGTTTTTTAAAGTCATAAGAAGCCTCTTTTGACCATGCCCGAGTTTATGCTAATGAGGTGATGAGAGATCTGAGGACCAGCTCTGAGATTAGAGGTCTGAAGGTTGAGTTAATCACTCATGGCCAGTGATTTAATCAATCATGCCTACTTAATATAGCCTCCCTGAAAAACCCTAATCTAAGGGACCAGTGAACATGCTGGGGTGCTGGGAGAGTGGTGTGCCTCGGGGAGGGCCTGCAGCTCTGCTCCCCTTCCCGCATACCCGCCCCTTCTCGCATACCTCGCCCCGTGCATCTCTTCACCTGCCGGTTCCTGCATTGCATCCTCTATAATAAACTGATAATTCTGTAGGTAAATCTTTTCCTGAGTTCAGTGAGCCACTCTAGGAAATTATTAAACCCATAGAGGGGATTGTGGGAACCCCCTATTTATAGCTGGTTGGTCAGAAACACAGGTGACAACCTGGACCTGTAATTGGCATCTGAATTGCAGAGGACAGTCTTGTAGGGCTGAGCCTTCAACCTGTGGGGTCTGCGTTAACTCTGGGCGGGTAGTGTCAGAGTTGAGGTAAATTATAGGGCACCCAGTCTGTGTGCACCAAGGATTGAATTTCTTGGTGAGAAAAACCCACACATCTGGTATCAGAAGTGTTGGTGTGAGTACAGTATACAGGAGAGTTTTCCTTCTCACTGTCTCTCTCCGTCTCTGTCTCTGTCTGTCTGTCTCTGTCTGTCTGTCTCTGTCTGTCTGTCTGTCTGTCGCTCTCTCTCTCTCTCTCTCTCTCTCTCTCATACACACACAAATATACACACATTTATCATCAGGATAAACAGCCAGGAGGACATTACTGCCAAAGACACACCGATTTGTGGTCAGGCCCTAGGGCAGATTAGGGAGTTTCTGAGGAACACCCCCCTGATTGGACAGCCTATAACCTTTGCCACCTGGTTTCAAGGTCTCGCTCATACTGCCTCTAACAGCTGTGTTCTTGGTTTTGCAGCCAGAGCCCAAGCCTGGAGACCTGATCGAGATTTTCCGTCCCTTCTACAGACACTGGGCCATCTACGTTGGCGATGGATATGTGGTCCACCTGGCCCCCCCAAGTAAGGGCACCCAGGGCCTCCACTGGGCAGGGGCTGAGAGGAGAGGGAGATGAGAAGCTATGGGCAAAGGCGACCCCAATGTCGGTTTCCGAGCGTTACGAGAAGGCAGTTTGGTGCGGGCTGGTGGTCTTCAAACTCTGCTCCTTGGAACCTTAGGGATTTTGTAGAGGGGCTGAGGTGGGCTACGCAGGGGGCAGCTCTGCTTTTATGGTTTTATATACTGTGGCTTTGTATAAGACACATCTAACTCTTAAATAGAAAACTCCCTGAGCGAGCATGGGTTTCTGGGCAGCAGACTTGGCCATGAACCCAGTGTCTACTCTCCAGCCTCGGTTTCCTTCTCTGTACACCGAGGCTAAGAATACTGAACTTGGGGAATTGTCATGACAATGCCCCATCCCTTTTCTGAAACTTTTTACTTAAACCGAAGTATAATGTGCATATAGTAAAGTGCATGAACATAATAATGTGTATAGTCAGCGAATTAAAAACGATGTATCTATCCATGTGACAGGGACCCAGGTCAAAATCTAGAACATTCCCACTCCCCTAAAAGGCTCCTGCATACCTCTTCGGTATCCCCTCCCCCTCCCCAGAGGCAGCCATTATTCTAGCTTCTCTCGCCACAGATTAGTTTTGCCTGTTCGAGAACCTCACTTAAGAGGAATCGCGGTCTGTGCTCTTTTGTGTCTGGCTTCTTTTGTGAGGCTGTGAGAGTCACGTGGCGAGCGGCAACATTTCACTGCTCGGCGTTTTCTGCGACGTGACTGTGCCTCAGCCTGTTACCTGTTTTGTTAGCAGACGTCAAATTGGCTCCAGTTTGAGGCTGCTCCGAGTGTGGCTGTTGTGGGCATTTTTGGAGGTGTCCTTTGCCCACCCCTTCACTTTAAACTAAAGGCCTCACACTGTACTTATAGAGAAATCAGAAGAAACCAGAGTAGATGTCATCTTCCCCACTCCTGATTACCCAAACCACCAATATCTGCACCTATAGAATCTACCTATCATCTGCTAAAATGCAAAAAAAATACCCACATGTGTGGGTCCTGGACCCCTCTTCTTACTTTCGTAAGTGCTTTGCTTCTCAAATTCCCACCTTTTTCTATATCATCATCGTCTCCCTTTCTATTAGGCTGTTCCTATTGGCGTAGAAACCACGGTCAGATCTCCCGTCGATAAAATAAACTCATCCTCACGTCCCTTCTCACTGGCTCCCCGTAGAGCAGATCTCGTGTCTGCCGTGGCCATCGCTGTCCCTCCCCTCCCATTCTCTCTTCGGTTCCCTGAACCAGGCTCTCTCTTTTTCACCTGCCTCGTGGAGCAGCGCTTATCGAGACGCCCGAAAGACTGTCCACATCCTGCCGAAGCCAGAGGTCGATGTTCTGGTCACAGCTCACTTCACCCCTGTCCACTCTTCACCTGGCACCTGTCTTCTCCTCCTCTCCCGGATTCCTAATCCTTACTCTCCCCAGGTGACCTCGTCAGGTCCTCTGACTTCTAGTACCTTCTCTTTGTCGATGTGTCCTAAACCCACACCCTCAACTTAGGCCTCTCTGCCCGACATCAGACTTTAAATTACCATATCGATGTGTGTTTACGTATCAACCTTAGTGTGTAATTGGGGGTTCCCATAGTGTTGGCCCAGCAAGGTTAGGTGACATGTCAAGACCTAGTGACAGAGTCAGAATCAGAACCCAGATCTTCCGACTGCTATCGGACCACCCACCGGGAGGCACCGAGGGTGCAGAGTTTAGGGGGGCCCTCACTCTTAGGGGTTGGCTCTGTCCTTGCCCGGCCCTGACAGTTGTTTCCTCCTGATATTTTGTGCTCTAGGCACCAGTTTGCCTCACCCCGGTCCCAGCCCTGCCACCCACCCCCGTAACGCGCTGAAGTTCACCTGGCCCAACTCCCATGCCGACTGTCCTCACAAACGCCAGGCTCGCACATGGCACCATCTCTTTTATTAACACCAGCGAACCCCTCGAGCACCTCCCGCCTTATTGGTAGCAGTTCAGAAGTCCCCCGATTTTCTAATGTCTCAGGATTGTGTTCAGGGCAAAGCAGAGCAGACCTGGGATCTGATCGGTCCCTCCTGCCATTGCTTCCTGCTGTCATGAGGTGTCACAGTGAAAGACATCTCGCCTAGCATAACAGGGTGCCTCCCCTGTGGGGAGAGTCTGGGGGTGTCCCAATCTCGGCGGGGTGCAGCGGCTCTTTGAGGGAGCGAGCCTCCTCTCTGGGCTTCAACGGCTTGGTGCACGCCCACTTTTTCTGCCATCAAACCCAAAGTGTGCCCTCCCTGCACCCGGCAGGTTGGCTGCCCAGGCCGTGATGTCGTCAGCTTTCCCTGCTCGCCATCCTGGTCCTCGTCTTGACCCTAGACTTCCTTTCTTTGAGGCAGTTTCATTACTGAAGCTATGTTGCCCCTTCCGGCCCCTCAGGCTTGGCCAGTGCTGTGCCAATGTACACACTGGGCCTCCCTGGTGTCCCATCTCGGGGAGCAGCTGTGGAGCTTTTGTCCCTTTGCTCCCATAAAGGCAGCAACTACTTCTGCAAATCCATCCACCTTTTCTGCAGTAGGCAGCTTTGTGTATGTCAAGGAAGTATAGCCATGATAGCATCATAAAAAGTTCACACTCTATTCTTCCAAGGACATGACCAAGAGGGTCACTGAGGTGTCCCAGAAGGCCAGCTTCTCTATGTTAAAAAAAAAAAAAAATCACAATTTTCCATGGAACTTTACTACCCCTCATTTCAGATAAGGAAACCAGAGACCACAAGCCCCTTTTCCAAGGCCACACAGCATATGCCTGACCCTCCTCCTTTCCCCTTCCACACCTGCTCAACCCCTTGTGGATGTTGCCAAGGGTAGATGCCCAGTCGGGGTCCCGCTCTGAGCCCCTGGTGGCCTGCCGGGGACCAGCCCCTCTGTCTCTTCTTTATGACTCCGCAGGCGAAATCGCTGGGGCAGGTGTGGCCAGTGTCATGTCTGCCCTGGCCGACAAGGCGATAGTGAAGAAGGAACTACTGTACGATGTGGCCGGGAGAGACAAGTACCAGGTCAACAACAAACATGATGACAAGTACCCGCCGCTGCCTCCCAGCAAAATCGTCCAGCGGGCGGAGGAGCGGGTGGGGCAGGAGGTCCTCTACAAGCTGACCAGCGAGAACTGTGAGCACTTCGTCAATGAGCTGCGCTACGGGGTCTCACGCAGCGACCAGGTGCGTCCTCCGTCAGTGTTTCTGTCCCCAGGAACCAGACCATTCCCTCAGCTGATCCTGGCTGGGCATCAGTGTGGGCCGGGCCAGAGTGGAGACAGAGACAAAATATCGGAGACAGAATCCCTGCCCTCGGGGGCGGGACAATCGGGGTGGGGACGAGGGTGGGGAGACCTGCAAGTCGGCAGTGCAGACCTGCGTGGTTACCAGGTGACGGCCAAAATCACGTGAATCATTGCCATTACGTCATCTTCCTGTTGCTGAGTCCTCCCTGGCTGCCCTTCCCTGGGTTGGACCCTTACCACAGCCCCAGAGGTGGGTTTCATCATTCCCACTTGACAGATGGAGAAACTGAGGCTCACAGTGCTTAAGTAACTTGTCAGTGGCCGTTTATTACATAACAAATCCGTGTTGATCTCCAGAACTGATACTTCCCCTTTCTTGGGATTCTGCAACTGTGCTGATAAGTGGCAGAAATGAGATTTGAAGCCCAGGTCTGTTTGACACAGCTTTTGATGCTTCTAAAAAGCACTGTTCTCAGCTCTGCTGCAACCCAAGACTTATTCCAAGGGATGCAGTTTGGTCATTTACTTGGTTTGATTTCAGCCATGCCCCGCCTTTTTTGAATCTCTTTTTCTCCCCAGTAACTAACTTCCTTCCAATTCTCTTTCACTCCCTTCTCTCCCTTTCTGTACCTTTGGTACCGTGTGTGTGTGTGTGTGTGTGTGTGTGTGTGTGTGTGTGAAAGAGAGAGAGAAAGAGAAAGAGAGAGAGAACATTGGAGAAGTTCTTAGAGGTTTGTTAATGCAAAAGAGTGTAAGTTTTTCAAAAATTTGAAAGCACCGCTTCATTGTCATCTAGCTAATGCTATTGTTGTCGAGAAGTTGGAAATGGTTCTGATTTTTGATCCTTCGTATCATTTTCTTCTTCCTAGAAGCTTATAGAATCTTCTCTTTATCTTCAGTGTTCTGAAATTTCACTACGATATACATGTGCTGGGCACTTGATGACTTCTTTCAATCTGGAAACCCGTTCCTGCAGTTCTGAGAAATTTTCCATTTCTCTTCCCTCATTCTGGAACTCTGATCATTCGGATGTTGGACCCCTAGACTGCTCCTCTGATTTCTTTGTCCTCTCTATCCTATTTTCCATTTATTTAAGTTTAGAAAACTAACATTTATTGGTAGACTTGGGTATAATATTGAAAGTTTTTTTTTTTTTTTAAAGTAGCAGTGACAATATCAGCATAAAAAAGAGAAACTTGTGCTAAATAAATCTGTTTTCATCCTTGGTGATATTACATAACAATTGAGGTCCTCATTCACGCATGGCTCTATGTCAGGCACATTTCCATACTCCTATGCACATTTCCAAACTTCAAATAAAACTTACTCTACAAACTCTAGAAGAAATAAGATGCTCTATGAAATTCAGCGTGCTCCATTAGGAAGATTTGGTAGATTTATAAAATACCTCCTAATCATCTCACTTTTAGTTATTCCTTATTGATTATTAATGGACTAAAGAATGGATTTGCAGGTTTATATAAGTAGAGCATTTTGTGTCAATACCAAATTGTTACATAATTTAGTAAAAGATGTATGTCCCTAGGCATGAATAATATTTAGAGCAATTAAATACGATTCCAAATATGAGATAGTGAAATAACTAAGAAATGGTTTCTATCATTTACTCTTCTCATAAACAATAATTCAGCTCTTCTTGCAAAAGGATACAGTGCAGATTGGACACAGCACAGTGTTCTTTTAGCTTTCGCTTTCTGCATTACCCGCCCACTCGAAAGGGCAAAACAATGACAAAACAATAAAACGGCATAAAGAATTCTTCTCCTCACAGAAAATGAAACCAGGATATTCTTCACAACAAAAAAAGATACCATCTCTACTGTTTCCAAAGATTTCTTCTTTCATTTTTGAACTAGGATGAAGGTTTTTCCAGCGTGGCACTGTTGACATTTTGAGTCATTGACAAGGAAGCTAATTCTTCATTGTCAGTGACTTGCCCCGTGAATTGCAGGATGTTCAGCAACATCTGGGGCCTCTGCCCACGAAGTGCCAGTAGCACTCCCCCACACCCCACACCCCCAGGGGTGAGAACCAAAATGCCTACCAGCATGTACCTAAATACCAGCATTTGCCTTTGTAAGTGCTGTCAAAACGGCAACTTTCCTTTTCATATACCTCATAGAACATTTTTGTTTGTCTTTAATAATCTGGTCACTCATTGTGTTTATTTGTGCTGTGCCCTTTGAAGCAGACTAGCTTATCCTTCAACAAAGTATTTGTGACTCATTTAATTTACCAGTTAGAAAGGAAAGCAATGGATTTAGACTAAAATGTTGTTTGTGCTTTACCCGCCTAAGAGTATTCTAAAATAAGATTCTCTGACTTCCCACTACCTAAAAATACTCAGGCTTCAAAAAAGGTATAGTTAGTAGCCTTTTGTAAATAAGACTTTGAAATGAATAGTACTTTTTTAAAAAGCAGCTACATTTATAATGAAATCTACTCATACTCAGATAGAATATTAAGGTAAATAGAAATTGAAGCTGTAGCCAATGGCAATGAATATATTACATAAATCTGGATAAATTGCAGGGTATCATTTAAAAATTATTGTAAGTATTGAAGGCAAATTTCTATACAAATATTTTTATCTTGTAACCTCTCATAATCTAAATTCAAATGCTTTCAGAATAACACTAATCTTCTTTCATGCACTCAGTACATCGCCGAAAGTGAAGAAAGCACGTTAGAATTTTCTATTTCTTGGAAACAATTCTGGGGCTTAACTCAGAGAAGCTGTGTAGCATAAGCAGCTAATTTTCTGCAGTCAGATAGAATTTCAGTTTGTCCACTTAAACGACAAAGACAGATTCCTTAGCATTTCTAATTTCTATCTTTCATGATATTCTGATTTAAGACTGGTGATGCACACCAGAGAGCACATTTTAACAATCAGAAGTCCTGTAATTTCAGTACAGTGGCTGGGCTGCACCCGTCGGACCCGTCGGTCTTGCTCCAAGATAATCATCAAGGCATCTAAAGACAGCGCTGACTCTCAGGCAAATCATTTTCCTTGTAAAATTTGCACGAGCAGGACTAACTTAGATACCACTTTCTTGTATTAATTAAACTCTGACTCTGTGCAAAGCATGACCACAAACAATGGGGTTATTGCTGTTTTCCTTGACAAAGTATCTTTTGTATGAGCCAGTTGCATCAGCATTTCTTCTCATACCATTAGGTTCTGTAAAAGACATATTGTGTCTCCTCCAGCATCTGCAAAACATTGCTCCCACCCTGACACATAGCTTAGCAAGAAAAACACTGGATGCAAGTGGATTTATACAGGTTCCCTAGCAAATTAACCCGAAAGAACCATGGCTACCACAAAACTGGGCCTAATTATTTTTTTAGAGAAAGGTTTGAAAATTGAACAGCAGTCAAACCTCAGGTCAGGGGCTTCATCCAGTTTTGTCATCATGTGTTCTGGCTGCTAAGAACATCAGTTCTGGGTACCTCGTGATGTTAGTTACACTGGTATGTTTCTGGAGATCTCACACAGCTATGCTGGACACATTTATGGCCTAGATAATCCTGGGCAGCACCAAGATTATCTATCTATCTATCTATCTATCTATCTATCTATCTATCTATCTATCTATCATCATCTATCATCTATCTACTTATCTAATCTATCATCTATCTATATCTAGCTAACCATCAAAGACCTCCAAATTCTTCTCTGCAGTGGTCATGTAGGAGTTTTGGCATGACAACATGTACAGTCTAGGTAAGCTCTGTGGTTACAGTAGCAAGGGCCGTGTTGATGGCATCAGGAAAGAATGTGGGTTTTGGGTGTCAAGACCACATTTTCATCCTTTTTATTCCTGAGATTTTTGGTACACGATCTTCGCTGGACCCCTTGGCATTAAATGATTAAGAATCTTTTCCTTTGTTGTTCTTGATTCTGCTTAAATGCCTGGCTTGGTTTTTGAGTGAGATTTCTTGATCTATGTTTATGACACTCTTTTATGCCTCCAGTGGGAAAAAGCACAGTTTTGCTGATTTTAGCCCATGTGCCTTGGGAACAGTTGCTATGAGCTGAAGAGAGAATTTGCTCTCCCTTTATTTTGTCGCAGGAGGCGGGGCTCCCAGAGCTGGGCCCTGGATGATGCTAGAAACAGGAAGAGGCTGAACTTTCTCACCGTTGCTTGATGATCTGGATTGTTTCCACTCAGTTTTGTGACCTTTAGTGCTGCTGCTGTATCTGTTAAAACATGAAGGGCTGAAATGGTGGATGTGAGGATATCACGGCTAAGGGACTGAGAAGGAAGCTGGGGGAGAGGCCGCAGGATACACTAGCCTTCTAGCTGGACTGCAAATTAGAGCAACAGACCTCTATGTTGGGAATGATTTTTAAGCTTCAGAGTGCATCCTCAGCACTCATTGACAGAGGCTCTTTGTCTGCACTGAATCTGAAACTGTCGGTGCTGTTGGAACTCAAGGCCATGGCTACCATGTTGTAGTTCAGTGGCAGACTGTCATGTCTTTGAGTTGTATGTGAATAGTCGTGTACATCAAACATGCTTGAATGCTAAGGCGAAAGAAGAGCTAGCTATACCAAATCTAATTCCTAAATGCTTATTAACAGTAGTTGAATCCCCAAAATCTGGAACACCAATAGCAATGCTCACTGTGCTTTTAAGCACTTGAGTTTATAAACCGGATTGAAGGTCAGAGGTAAAGGGGAATGTTTCAAACAAAGAGAAGGATGAATCTGAGCTGTGGAAGTGTGTGTGTCCTATCAAAGCAATGATCCATCACTGGGCAAAGCCGAAATAGCAGAACAGTAATCAATGGCTTCTGTTATATCTGTGAAATGTATTAGCAACATTTTTTGGTGGCTGTTTACGAGGACACTTAAATGTTTGTTTTCCTATAACTGCCTGTAGTCTTTGACCCAACTATGAGATGGTTTCACCTTCATCTTCTTGCCTTCAGGTGTGTAGACATGGATTGACATTTGAAGTTATGGGTGCAATAAAGTTTTGTATCAGGTTCCTGGGCTTACAATGCATGCTCCTATTTCTTTCTCTTTTGTCCTTCTTTCTGGAAAAGTTTTAAAATTTAAATTTTAGTTTTTCAAATGAACATACACTTACAATATGAAAATACGATCAGCACTCAAAGACTTAAAATAAAACACAGGGTTCCCTGCCCTATCCCTCTCAGCTCCTCCCAGTCCCCATCCCAAAAGGCAACCACTCTTCTATTTTTTAGTCATTAATTTTGACATTTACCTATTTCTGCATTTCTAAACAATATGTGTATACTAGTGTCTTTTTATTAAAAATTTTTCAGTATGCTCTTTTGAATTCTTATTATGGTAAGTGAAGGCTAAATTGTTTAATACTGTTGTGTCCAGAATAACCAGACCCAACTTGAGTGCTCTTAACCAGGAGACAGTTTATTAGCCGTCGGCTGTCCTTGCAAAGGAGCAGCCTCAAAATGCCAAGATACAAGGTTTTTAAGCCCCAAATCCCATTCCTCATTCTGTCTTAAACACAAAGGTCCATCTTTCTCCTATTCACTACCTGTCAACCCACTGGTCAGGTGTGCAAGCGGGAAGTACAGAAGCAGAAAGCTTGTTGTTAGAATGTTATGTTCCTATGGGTGATTGCCTATGTTCCCATGGGCAATAGCTAGTGTTCCCATGGGCGATGGCCAAACAGTAATTTTCAACTTATATACAATTGATTATTTTTCATGCCACGCAAGCAAGCAGGGTTACACAGGCTAAAATTGGCAGTTAGCTTATGAGCTCATTGTTACAAGTTTCATGATTAACAGAATGTGGTTAGGGGTTCCAGAAACTAGGCCTAAGTTACAGACTTCCTTTGTCCAATTTCAGGTTTTAATTATTCTTTAACCCTTTCACATTTCAGCGGGCTATTACAATACTATCATCCCCTCTCCCTCCCCCATGCTCTCAGCATAATTTTACATTATGCATTTTTATTAAATTACTATTCAGTGTTTGTTTTAGGCCTATGCAAATTTTACTCACAGATGACTGTTGCAGTGTATTTGGGGGGGGATAGTTTATTTTTTCCTTGAAGACAATTATTACTTCCTTTCATTGCTTGGTTTTCCTTGTACCGATCATTAATTCTTCCCACACCATCTAATTAGCTCTCAGTACAGGTTTCCACAAGGAAAATCACTCCAAAGAATCTATCAGTTCTGTGTTTTCCTTGGAGAGAGCCATTCCGCTCTGCGTACTGGTTGCTCCCTGGCTGACTCACGCTTCTCCCTAGGGTTTCCCTTTACGGCCAGCCTTGGGATTTCCTTTGCCTGTTTCTTGGATTGGATTCCCTGCTTCCATAATCTCTTAGTTTCTTATTTCTTTGCTTTTTCCCTTTGCCCCCCCAGACCATATGCCCCAGAAGTTGCTTTAAAGTAGAAAGACAGTACGTGGGATAATGGTGACAATGGTCAACTCAACACGCCAGGCTCTTGAGTCACAACACTGTTACCTGGATTGGTTACTATGTGTTTCCTGTGGCTGCTGTAACAAATTAGCTACCACAATCGTAGTGGTTTAAAACAACGCGAACTACTTGCCTCTTCGTTCTGGAGGTCAGAATGCTGAAACAGGTCTCATGAGAATCGAAGTGCCAGCAGGGCCGCGCTCTTTCCTGGAGGTTTGAGGGCAGAATCTGTTTTCTTGCCTTTTCCAGCTTCTGGAGGCCACTGCATTCCTTGGCTTGTAGCCTTTTTCCATCTTCAAAGCAGGATGTGATGAGGTCTTTTCACACCGTATCACCATGACATTGACTCTTCTGCCTCCCTCTTTAATTACATCGGGCCCACCTGGATAATCCAGGATAATCTCCCTATTTTAAGGTAAATTGATTAGCAACCTTAATTCCATCAGAAACTTTAATTCCTCCTCACCATGTAGCATAATATAGGTCCCTGGAATTAGGACATGGACATCTACAGGGGGTCATTATTTTGCTGACCAGTTACTCTCGACAGCAGTACAAAGTTGTCCTAGGATCTCCCTTCACCATCATTCCAGCGAAATCCCTTTCTATTTTCTCCTGTACCAAGCGTTCATCTTCTGTATCTCATGGCTTCTTTTTAAATGGACACCATCGTTTTGATGGAATTTCTTTCAGCAGCTTCCTGAAAACAAACGCGTCGAAAGTGAATTTGTTGAGACCCTGTATGTCTGGATTATTTTTTATTTTACCCTCCCACTTGACTCGATACTTCGTCTGGATACAAAATGCGGGGTTAGCCATTGTTTTGCTTTAGAATTTTGGAGCATCGTTCCATTGTCTTCTTGCTTCCAATCCTGATTCTTGATCTTTTCTCTGTTTCCTGTGTCTCTTCCCTGCTGTAGCAGTTGTAATATCTTTCCTCTACCTAATATTCTAAAATTTCACAGGAATGTTCCTTGATATAGATCTTTTCTGATCCATTGAGATGGGCCTTGGAGCACCATTTCAATCTGAAAACGTACATGCTTTGGCTCTAGCAAATTTTCACGACTTATTTCATTTGATTCCCCTCCTCTGTGTTTTCTCTAATATCTCTTTCTGGAATGGCTGTTATTCAGATACTGGACTGCCTGGATTGTTCCCTTTTTTACCTTTGGCTTCTATTTTCTATATTTTTATCTTTTTTGCTATTTATTCTGAGAGATGTCCTCAATCCTGAACCTTTTTATTGAGTTTGTCATTTCTATTGTACTTTTATTTCCTAAGGACTGTTTTTATTCTCTCAATATTCTATTAGTTTTTTTTTTAATAGCGCTGTGTTTTTACTTATAGGATACAATATGTTATTATTCTCTAATAATAGTTTTTAAAAAGATACTTTCTGTTCTAAATACGGATTCTGTCTCTCCAGATTGCTTTTTTTTATGTTTGTTTTGCTCTGTGTTTTCTATTTTAGAGGTCTTCCTCAGATGTCCGGTACCTTGGTTTTATGCTTGTGATTAAGGGTTGGGGGGCTTACTACTGAATGGAAGCTCAGAGTGAGCTGGGAGGGGACAGTGGCTCATTGACTTTGAGTTTCACTTCTAGGTGATCTGGGTGAGCTGTTTGGTAATCCACAGTATTGATATCTTTTGTTTCTACTTGGGCTGGTCAGGTGCTCCAGAAAAGTTTTCCTGACTCTTATGTGGAGGGCAAAGCTCTGGGAATAGGGAGGGCTAGGAGGGCCAAGAGTCTTACCCTCGGCATGTTTGCGGTCTCTCCCTCTCTGTTATTTGGCACGATAACCACATCCTCATTTGTGCTTCTAGGTTTCCAGCCCCCCAAATCTTCTATTTTACCCTCTCCAAAGAATAAACTTTCAGTCTTCTGTTGCGGTTAGGGAGGGCATCCAGGGACCTAGCTAAAACTCTCCCTCTTCTTCTTCTCCTTCCAGAGGTAACTGGTGTTGTCAGTAGGTAATCTTTTTCAAGGATTCCGTTGTATAGTCATGACTGATCCTCAGCTTTCCCCACTGTTGCCTCACAATGTAGTACTCTCTGTGTCCTTGAGGAATTATGCCTAAAACAAATGGCTTACTTTACTTTTAATTGAGTTTCCGGAAGGATTGAAATTTGACACATGTTCAGTTTTCCCCTTGGATCTTACTCCTACTTTTTGTCAGGGAAATGGGGGAGAATTGGAGGATGGAGCCAGGATGGAAAACAAAACACTTTTTGTTTTCTAGTACAAGCAACACAAGTTGTATAGCCTAATAAGTTACAGTATAACATCACTACTACTCATAGTTGTCATTTATTTAAGAATATGTAAGAGCACTCCTGCGCCTGGCTGGATGCTGGGGATTCAGCCATGAGCAGTGGTGACGTACTTGCTCTCGTGGAGGTCATCGTTTATTGAGTATTCAACAGCAATTCCTCCTTGACTTCGCACTTGCTTCAAGGGCTGCCCATTGATCGGCCAGAATCCCAACCCTCCTGTCTTTTCCATAACCTCCCTCTGGGGATTTATGTGCTATAAATACCCACAGGGCGAATGGAGTTTCCATCTTCAAGCCCAGGTACATTCCTGGCTAGCTGGCTCCATCCTCCAATTCTCCCCATTTCCCTATCAATATTTGTTGACTCCTGAGTTTGCTAAGGCTCTCTGAGCTGAATGTTCTTGTTGAATATACAGCCTGGACTCAGATTCCTGACAAAGAATCTGATCCACCCTTCTCTCTCTTGCAGGTCAGAGACGCCATCACGGCAGTTAGCATCGCAGGAGTGGGCTTGGCAGTCGCGAGCCTCATCGGAGTTATGGTCTCAAGAAACAAGCGACAAAAGCAATAAGTTGAAGGGACCGTCCTGACAGCAATTACTTTATACATCAAGGCGTGGGGGGCTTGTTTTGCTAGAGCTTTTGAGGTCTGGTTTATGGATTTCATTCTGTTTTTATAATAAGGCTTATTTTCATAGAATTAAATAAAGCCCAATAAGGGAAGATTTTATTGGGGGAAATGCAGCAAAAACTGCCTGGTGTGAAGTCCGTTGAAGGCAAAGCCGGGCTCTGTTCCCGGCAATGCCAGGTTGTGCCCTGGCCCTTTGGTGATTTCCTCTCACTTTCTCTTTGTGGGCTTCGTTGTTATTCTTGCAGGAAACGAAGTCCCACTCCGGTTATCTCAGGTAATGGGCGTTTCTGGTCGTGAGGATACACGGAGGCAGCAAGGGGGACAGACCAGCTTGATATACAAGAACAGGAACCATCTGACAGCCAGGACCTTGTCCTGGAACTAGACCCGGGATGGCTTCTAGACTCAGCAGCTGGAGTCTGTAGACATTCCTGGAGTTCAAACCAAACCAAACCAAACCTTTGCCATAAGGAAACTCAGTACATGCTCTTGCCAATCTTTTTAAAACCACCCTTATTTATGCTTCCTCACCGCTTGGCCTTCCCATGACCCCCGCAAGTCTCTGATCCCACACACTCACCTGCGGCCTATTTCCCCAAACCTACCAAGCGCTCCCAGTTCCTGAGAGAGAATCTGATTGGCTCATCTCACTCCTAGCTCAGCCTACTGATTGGCTGCCGTTGGGTCAGGTGACCCCACTTGGCCAATGAGCTGTGCCGGGTGGGGCCTGATCATGTGGTACAAGGTTGGCGCAGACTCTATGGGGTGAAAGGGTGGCAGGCCCCACTGAGCCCTTGCAGGCGGAGTTGCCATAAGGAATGACCACTTGTAGCTAGTCCCTTGAGGGCTGCTGCTGCTGCCCGCTGGGCTTGGCAGATGCTCAAAATGACCATTTCCCTGAAAGAGACTTTGGTAGTTTCCTCAGAAATACTCTCCTTCATCAGCCCTGGCTGTCAGGCGACCATCTGTCAAGGAAAAGAAAACTGAATCTCTGTACATTTAAGCAAAGTTTTATTTAGGCCTTACCGAGGGGCTAGCTTTGAAACAGTGCTCTAACTTGGGGGAGATGCTTATATAGGCAGGAAAGTAAAGCAAAGGAACATTTGTTATGTCCGAAGTTACAATTGGACTACACATGCTTCAGCGGTTTAATGATTTTACATCAAACGGAAGAGATGCGTAGAAAAGATAAGGTTGAGTTTCTCGTAAACCTCTGAGGTGGGGAGACTGGGAGCAGGGTGTGAAAACAAATTACTTTGAAACTCTAGAGGCGAATCTTTGATCAGAATGTAGAAAGGCTTCTTATAGTCACTGTCTTTTGTGTTGAAACATTGTATGGCGTGTGTGTGACAGCCCCCCAAGTTGCCTTAGTAGGGGATTTTCATTAGTGAGGCTTTTTGTTCTTTCTTGGTTGCTGATTTAGAGGAGCTTAGGCACCCTTTCCCTTCTCAGGACTTACAAATGGCTCCATGCCAGCTCCCCGCTGCTGGGCCCCTGTCTGGTCCAGTGTAAACACGTGCCCATCCACACCCCAGTGTCGGCATAAGAATAGCTTTCTTCCAGTTCGGTTTCCTTTCTTTTTGTCTGAGCTCTATTGATGTAATATTTCATGCCAGTTCTCAACCTTCCCAAACCCAATGGACAAAGGCCAAAATCAAAGATTAGATCTCTTGAAGCCCCCTCTCACATGGCACAAGATGATAGGGAGCCTTCATTAAAGTCCTCCATGGAAATGAAGGTTGTTGGCTAGGTCAGTTGAGATTGGTTAGGCCCATTATGTAAAATGGAGCATGTTGGTTCTCAAAATGGATTGGTTTCTTTCAAGGTGAAGAATGCAGATGATCTGGTCACCATGCTGAGGAGGAAGTAAAACCCATATATGCTTATGTAGAAATCATGGATCCAGGATGTTTGTTGTTTGGTCTTGAGCTGAGTTTAGCAATGAGTCAGCAACTTAACGGTAGTTCTAAGAGGTGAGACATAGGTCCCATTGCTAAATAGCCTCTTGACACCTTGGGATGCAGGTGGCTGCAAGAAGCAAAACTTAACTGAAAGGGGCTTTGATGGCCTGGACAGTCACTG